ACTAGTGTCTATGTTAGAGTGTCTCAGAAAATGGCTAGCGACAAGATTTTTCCTCCCTGTATGGACTTCGTGCTCCCACTCATCAAAAAGTCAAGTCTATTTTCCTTTTCCTTCAGTCTGGACTGGCTTTGTGACTTGCTTTGACTAATAGAATATGGTGGGGGTGGCAAGCTCAGACTCCTGTGTCCAGGCCTGTAGAAGACTGGCACCTTCCGCCTCCTTCCTCTTAAAGCCAGACGCTGTGAGAAAATGGACTACGGGGCCACCATGTTAGGAATCCAAGCCAGTAATGTGGAGCGCTCACAGTTGGGGAACGGATGAACACCGTTAGGGAAGCCTTAGCATTCCTGGCCAGTCCCAGCCACCAGGTAACTGCTGGTGAATGAGTTTCTCCAGCTAGGGAGTGACATGTGCAGCCAAAGAACCTGTTGGCAAAGTGCCAGGAACCCACAGAACCCTGAAAAATAGTAAATTGTAGTTGTTTTAAGCCACTACCACATTTATAGATGGTTTATTATTCAGCACTAGACAACTAGAAAATTTCTTAACTTCTTACTAAATCACTTTTTCTAAATCACTTTTTTGTGATTTGGAAAAAAAAAAGAGTTTTTGCACTAAGATTGGAAGTAGCAAACAAACTAGTAGGGATTATCTGTGAGTAACTTTTAAAAAATATTATCTTTTACTTTTACTGTTACTGATCATTTTTCACATTCATTATTAGTTGCTTGAAAATCCTGTCAACAGTACCCATTAAGCTAAAATGACTGCTCAATTTACCTCTGTGCTCATTTCCATCACCATTAAAATGGAAATAATAATATTGTCTACCTCAGAGATCTGTCTTGAGGGTTAAATAAGTTAATGACAGTAACATTCTTAACAGTGCCCGATTGTAGTAAGGCCCTATTAATGTTTGCAATTATGATTATTATTATCATACTCAAGGGAGAAGCAAAAAATGCCTGACAGGATGAAAACTGCTAGAAAATCATTACTCCAGGTGAAGCTCAAGATTAAGCATTCCTTTTATATCTAAGTGCTGAAAAATAACCTTGTTTGCTTTCTCTGAAGACCCTCTATGGTTTCTACCATGTTTTTCCTTTTGATTTGCCATTAAGAAATTTCATAATCAAATTTATATTTAGCTCTTGCGAATGTGCAGAATCTTAAGGACTGCTTATCTTTTTTACTTTGGAAGGACTTTGCAACTCATACAAAGCAAGAAATATGAATGGTTGGATTTTAAATAGATTTTAGTTTGGAATCTGTCCAAATTCTTTCTTTTGTAAACAGTATGCAAATATGAGCTAAGAGTTAAAGTATATTTACATAACATATGCAAATAACGCTTTTTGGTTTATTGGGAAATGTAAATTTATAAGATGTTGTATGTAGTTTTCTCATTAAAATCATATTGCTAATTATATCCCTAAATATTTGTAATGGGTTTATTACCAGGTAAAATACATTCTTTAAATATATTTGATGTGCATTTTAATTGAGTAGTAAATAAAAGCTGTAATTTTTTTTTAAGATTTTTTTTTT